AATAAAATTAAAACTTATTATATTTTACATATTTAATAATTATATTTAAATATTTTAAAATTTTAAGTATTAAAATATTTTAATTTCGTTAATTATTAATTATTTTTAAAGATCAAGTTAAAATAAAATTTTTTTAATTTTTATTAACCTACCAAAATCAATAGTACATGAGCGGGTTCGAAACCGTCGGAGAGAGGGAAATGCATTTTGCAATGGCAAGTGCCATTGAGCCTCTAGACCTAATGCAAGCATCATGTATAAATTAGTTATAAATCTTAAGAACAAAAAAATGTATCCTAATTTTAAATGCTAAATTTGAATTTTCTTCCCTTAAATTTGTATCTATTTAAAAAAAAATATATACCCTAAATCTATTCATCTTCGGACTTTTCAAAAAAAAAAAAAAAAAATTCCCGATCAAAAACTACAATCTTCGTCCAAAAATTCAAGATTTTTAACTGAAAAATTGCAACACTAGTCCCTTGCCATTGCCGACTCCAAAGCCAATGCTACGCACCCTGCAAACCCACCGTGGACCCATCCTCCACAGCAATAAACCACCGCCTATCACTCACCACGCCCATCTGTCCCTCTACACCACCCAACAACCACTACACTCCAGCTCTTCCATCCCTAAAGCGTCCACAGTCTCTGCCTCTTTCAATCTTGAGCACCCTCAACTAGAGACAAGACCCATGCATCTAATGGAAAAGAAACTGTCGTCAGTTGATTGGGAAACTTTCAGACCTGTGCGTCTTGACTCCTGAAAAAACTTCTTTGTTTCTTTGCTGGCTTCCTTCGATTTCTCTTGAAGTTTCTTTTAGATTTATTGGGCTTTTTCTTAGATTTTCTCCCTTTTTTTCTGTTTTTTCTCTTTTTCCGTAGGCAGTCTTGATGGAATTTTTAATACGAGGACGAAAATCCATTTTTAATTTTTGTAATTTAAATGTTTTTTTTATTTTGTTTTTATAATTTAAATATTAAACAATTATATATAAATAAAATTTTTATAATTTTTATATATTATTAAATAAATAAATAAATAAATGTGCATCAGCCCTATCTCAAAAAAAAAGAAAAAAAAAAAATCTCAAACCAAATCGGTCTTGTTTCTCTTAATCACGACCCATTGTTTTTCATCCCTTTTGGAATCATCTCCATCTTCGTCTTCATCTCCTTTGCCTACTGTTTTTTCCCTTTTCTAGAATCATCTCCATCTCCTCAGCATTCTTGACTCCTCCGATTCCTTCAATTTTTCAGACATAATTCCATGTTGCTAACTTAATCCCCAACACCTACTGTCTTCACCTCATTCTACTACTGCAATTCATCATCTCCATTGACAGAAATTGACTTAGTCCTGTACATGTAAATTGGTTTATTTAATTTGAATTCATCAAAACCAAAAATCATCAATCCAAAGATCTAAATTCAAAAGAGCAAGTAAATTTTGTAAAATCACAATTATCTTTTATTTTTTAATAAGAACAAAAAAAGAAAAAAAAAAATAAATAGTTTTATCAATAGAACGTGAACCATGTTCATCTTCAACGATCTTCTTAATCTCATCATCTTTGATGAGAGATGGAGAGATCAAGCATTGATCTTCATAGCTTGATAAAAGGTTTCTGACTGTTTATATCATCAAATTTTAACAATATTTACTACTTTGACCACAGGATTTTCTCTAGCAATCACCTCCTGCCCAGTGGCCTTGTAATCATAGCTATTATAATGAGATTGTATTTGAAAAATTGAAAGAATCAGAAGAGAAGAGTCAAGGAGGCGAGAAAGTGATGGGGATGGAGATGGAGATGATGTCAAAAGGGGTTGAGGACTAAGAGAAACGATGACGTTTTGATTTGGGATTCCAATTTTTTTTAAAATGTAAGATTGACGTGCACTTTTTTAATAAATAAATATATTTAATATAATAAATTTTAAATAAATAAATTTAATTATTTAAATAATATATATAATTATATAAAAAATAATACAAAAGGTTTTTTCTTATCATTTTTAGTACTCCTCATAACACCGGTTGCCACGTTGGAAAAAAAATTCCAACTCACAGCCATGTTAGCGATGGAGCCAGCTGAACAATCTTTCCGTTAGAGTTTATCACTTTTCTAACGTCAGCCGTGAGATAAGGTCTGATTTGCCAGCATAATATGAGTTGAGGAGTTAATTTGCATCTGTTTTTAGTTGAGGGGCTCATATGCACCATTTGATGAGTACAGGGGCTGATTTGCTTGTTTGCCTTTAATTTTTTTTTCTCTACTTTTCTTCACTTTATATCTGTATGCTTTACTTTGTTCTTCGTTCTACTCCATTTCTTTCTCTGTCTTGCTAGGAGGGTCTGCTCTGTTTCTTTCCTTTCTCCAGGCTACAACAATGGCCGACATTACCCACCATCCCATGGAGCAGCTTCAGGACCTGGAGTACTGCATAGACTCTAACCCTCCCTGGGGTATGTGCACTCTCATTCGTGGAATTTTTTTTTTTTTTTTTTTTAACGTTTGTGTGTCTTGAACTGCCTTCTCTACGTACTCTTCCTCTGGGTGGTACAGAATGAGAATCGGATTGTAGCTTGTAGCCTTGAAAGTCGTTTCAGAGCTTATGGTTGATTAAGAAAAGTTTCTGATAGTGTAACTGAGGTACAATGGCATTATTATAAACTTAGCTGCATTTAGAATAGTCTCGCCCTGCCCCCTAGATTGTTTCTTATGGTTGAGATATTTTGATCTGTGACAAAAATATCAAAAAATTCATCAATGAAATCTTGTGACGTTTTGTGCATGGATTTTCGCCAGATTTTGCTAATGACATTTTGCTAGTCAGTTAGAAATTCATCACTTGCCTGTGAGGCTGTTCTTAGTTAAGAAATCTTGTTTCCTGTCATTATGCTTAATTGTTATTTAAATGGTTAGTTTCATTTGTTTTCCGTGATGTCCAACTTGGGAATGTAGTATAGTCATCCAAGAGTTAGGAGTCATGCCTTTGAGATGACTATCACATTTGTTTTCATATTTTGAGACTGGTTTTATAATATATTATTTAATTTGGGCTATTGGTTTGACTTTGAGTGAATGATAACAAGCAAAATCAAGGGAAATGTTCCAATTTCATTTAATAATCACATGTGGGATGTCTATACCAAGCAAAAGCAAAATGATGATTATATCTTCTCTTCTGCTTTATGTTATATCATGGGCAAATATTATGTTGAGTTTGCGATGTAGGTGAGCCTTGAGGAAAGCTGTCCACAAGCTCTTTTGTAGAAAGAATTAAGGATTATGGATGAACTTAGGATAGAATAGCAGATGACAGCAGGGTGGTAAGGTTGCAACAAACATTAATCTGAGGTACTGTTGCAGGAAATAGAAAGTAGAAAAGAAAAAAAGGGGGGAAAAGATCAACAGGCAACATAAACCAATAATGTCCTGGCCTAGTAACTCCATGATTTCATAAACTCAAAATAACCTGATGAATTGCTATGTACAAAGAGACAGTTATGAGGACAATTACTTCTTGCAAGATTTCTAACGATTGGATAATAAAAGGGAAAAAATGCAAATTAAGTCCCTCAAAATTATTTTCACTATTGAATAAGCCCTCAATGAAATTTTGGTGTCAAATAAGCCCTCAATGTTGCAATCTACAGCAAATGTGCCAAAGTGGTCAGAAAGGGTCACATGCCAGCCATGTTTAGTAGTATGTTGTCCATTATTTTTCACCTTGGGCACATTTTCTCTTTGGCACACTTGCTACCAATCACAACTTGAAGGGCTGATTTGCAACCTAAGATTAATCATTTTAAAGGACAAATGTGCATAAACAAATAGAAAGTAACAGCCACTTGTCTGGCAAGGGACCTCTATGTTCATTTTCAGCGCATTTGATGTAGATTGCAACTTTAGGGGTTTATTTGTCGCCAAAGTGTCATTTGGGGCTTATTTGCTGGGCTAAGTTGCCTATTTTTTTCATAATAAAATCAAATCTTATTTGATAAAGACATAGTAACTCTAATACTAAAGACTTCCCAAACTTAGTTTTATTCTAATAAAGACCAAGTCTTAATAGAAATAGAAACCAATAATACCTAGACTTAATATTTTCATTGAAATTGCAAACTGATGCCTAAATATTCATAATTGCATGACAAGACTAAATCAATATTCCATTGCTTCTTCATTGGCTGCATGCAAAGAATTGATTTATGATTTCATGATTCTGGTCTATATGATCTTCGCACAAGTTCTAATTCTCAAGTCAGAGAAATCTAGTGAATGTTCCCATTCTAGAAATTGCACATGCTGGCTGCTTTACTATTTTAAATCAATGTCAAAAAATTAGTTGTCAAGAATAGAGATTCAGGTTGCCTTTCATACATGGAGGTGCATTATGGGCCTAGTTTATTTTCTTACCCTTGTCTTTTATCATCAGAGTACAAATCTGTCACAGTATTGTCTTGATATTATCAACTAATCTAGAAACAAGTTAGTGAAAACTACAAGCGATGTCCTGTGGTTAACACTGACAAGTTTAGTCAAATTATCAATCTGACTCTCATGCTTTCTTGAACTTAAGTATCATCAAAGTGCTTTTTGTTGCATTATTAAGCTGATTTTCATACTTCCTTGCCCTTATGTATCATTAAATTGAACTTATTTTTATTTTTTGCAGGTGAAACTATTGTATTGGCATTTCAGAACTACATCTTAATGTTGGGCACAAGTGTAATGATCCCTTCAGCACTTGTCCCTCTAATGGGAGGAAGCGATGTAAGCTCATTATCTGCTAAGCTTTTGCTTCCTTTCTACACAACTTTATGTATCTTATTATCTTAATTATGCTCAGTTTAGATGTCTATATTTTTTCTTGCTTTCCTTGTGGATTATGTTGGAACTTTGGACATGTAGGTTGTTAGGTCACGCCTACTATTACGTAGGCTAAATTTGACTTATCAAAAGGTTAATTTTGTTTCCCCATCTTTTTGTTGTTTCTTTATTTTTATTGCTTTAGATTGAAGACATCCGATAATTACATTTAGTGTTTTCTTTTATCCATTGACAACACTATAAGAGATAATCCCCACCCATCTTTGTACCCTTCTCAATGACTAAACTTGAATACTAGACTTTGAACTTCCTCTAGGGAGGAGAAATCCCCAAGATATAGGTCCCAAATTTTGGCCTTGGAGGTCTTGAATGGGCTTGTCATTATTGTACGTCAGGTGCCCTACTAGAAAGATCCTTTATTTTGTTTAATTCCCTTTTTTTTTCTTTTTTGCTTATAAACAGGGTGACAAAGCACGGGTTATACAAACTTTGCTCTTTGTAGCTGGGATTAACACTCTTCTCCAAGCACTCTTTGGAACAAGGTTGCCAGCGGTCATTGGAGGCTCTTATGCTTATATCATTTCTATAATTTATATAATATATGATTCCTCATTGCAACGGATCGCTGATGGGCATGAAGTAAGTTCTTTAGCCATGTAGTGATCCCTTTTTCTTTATATTTGATTCCCTCTGAACCACAATGATATATGTGACTGAGTCTTGTTTAGGACAGCATTATTCCATACCATTTAAACACTTGTATTGACTGATAAAATAATTGATGTTTGAAATTGCTAAAATTTAGCGTTCCTATGTGGCAGCCAAAGCAATCAGTGAGGTACTGCTTAGAAAAATGATAGAATATTTTGTTTTTTCTGCTTGTCTGCTGGGAAGTTTTTCCATAAGAAACCCCTGTCAAGAGGTAGACATTTGTGAACTTTTATGAATCAATTAAGACTATTATTACAAGAGGGAGCATCAATGCAAGCTTGCCTTGGAAAAAAGGAAAATCATTTAATTCATGTGACACTGCATAATTTGATGTTTGTTACTCTCCATAGTTAATATTGGTGAACAAATATGTGTCAAGAAATCCTAACTTGACTGGATCTCTTTCTTTTCAGACAAATTAATTATAACTAACAGTTCTATTGTAAACTTGAAAATATCAACATATAGAAAGGAGATTCTTATATACTTATCTCAACCACATAACCTTGTTTTCTATGAGCTTGATCTTAGCTTAAGTCCCATTAGTATGTGTTTCAATCTAATTCACTTCTCTGAATTAAAGTTACTTAACCTTCTCATTTGCTAGGGTAATTGAAAGAGATGTTCCAATGTGATTGGTTTGCAGAGATTTATACATACTATGCGAGCAATCCAAGGAGCTCTCATCATAGCCTCAAGCATACAAATCATCCTGGGATATAGCCAACTTTGGGGTTTGTTCTCACGGTACTATTGGTAGCATATGAATTAGGAAAATACAAAGGTTGTTAACCTACCTCTTTTGTGTTTATATTGCTCAAAGTATTTGGGTTTGTCTTGCAGGTTTTTTAGTCCTCTTGGTATGGCACCAGTGGTTGGACTAGTCGGCTTGGGATTGTTTCAACGGGGATTTCCTTTGGTAGGTATCTATCCATACCCTTAGTTTAAATATATGTTTGAGCCAACCAAGATAGTGATACTTGAAGAAATCTTCTGGTTATTGCAATTAATGTTTCTTTTCAAGCATCATATAATATTCCCTAAATTAATTGTCTTCTTAGTACTGAATAAATACCTCAGTTCCTCATCAGTCATTTTCTTAACGCCCATTCCTTGCATCATATGCCCAATTTCATTTTCATAATGTTCATTTCAGTTGGGAAATTGTGTGGAAATTGGGCTGCCAATGCTTTTGTTGGTAATTGGAGTTTCACAGGTAAATATTTTGTATAACTTTTGCTGTTACTTCTCTTAGAATCTTGGCTGTATTTTCTCTCTATTTTTAATGTTCCTTGTTCACATGGTTTTTGGCCATTGCAGTATCTAAAACACGTCAAGCCATTAAGAGATGTCCCTATATTTGAACGTTTTCCCGTGTTGATCTGTGTGTCTATCATTTGGATCTATGCCCTCATCTTGACAGCTAGTGGCGCTTACCATGACAAGCCAGCATTAACTCAACGTAGCTGCCGCACAGATGGAGCAAATCTTATATCCACTGCCCCATGGTGTGTGAAAATATAGACTGCTTTGCTTCTGCTTGACATCCGCCATACATTCTCTGGTTATATTATTTTGGGCAATCTTTCAGGTTCAAGTTCCCATACCCTCTGCAGTGGGGCCCACCTACATTTTCTGCTGGTCATTCATTTGCTATGATGTCTGCAGTTCTAGTGTCTATGGTTGAGGTATGTCATCCATTCTTTGTTGCACACTCTATTTACGGTTAAGTCTGGCAAGTTTATGTCGTGAATAATTTATGGACATGTCTAATTGTGAAATAACGTTTACAACATGCTGTAGTCAACAGCAGCATACAAGGCAGCATCTCGATTGGCTATTGCAACCCCACCTCCTGCTTATGTATTAAGTCGAGGTATTGGGTGGCAGGTAAGCTGCATTGACATTATTGTCACTTTTGTTCTTCGTTTTGTTATGTGTCCCTGTGTTATTAGTATTAATTTTTTAAAAGTTAAACTATATTTTATTTATTTTTGCTACAGCTGAATAATACTTTTTATTATCTTTGTGTCAGGGAATTGGTGTTTTGCTTGATGGCCTTTTTGGAACAGGCACTGGTTCTACTGTTTCTGTGTAATACATCTACAGTGAATGATAGCCGCATGTTTTTTCATTATATTCTTTTTTATTCTATGTAAAAAGCTTAACATAAATCTCATTATGTTTCAGGGAAAATGTGGGACTTCTTGGACTAACCCGAGTCGGAAGTCGCAGGGTTGTTCAAATATCTGCAGGTTTCATGATATTCTTCTCAACGTTAGGTATGCACGGCCTGCTACCAAACCCAAGGCAACTTGAGGGGTGATTTGAGAAGTGCTACGTTTTTTTTTTTTTTTTTCCCTGATTACATGGCATAGATAACTTCTTAGTTTGGAAACCAAGATTTAAGGCCAGTATTTTGACCACAGCCTAGTGAAAGTTATTTGAATCTTGGAAATCAGCTCTTTTTGAAAGTTCAGGCATGGTTAACTCACTCATGTTTTTGCAGGAAAATTTGGAGCCGTGTTTGCATCCATTCCTTTCCCAATTTTTGCGGCACTTTATTGTGTTCTCTTTGGCCTTGTGTGTGCGTCACTAACTTACCACCAGTTATGCCTTCCCAAGAGTTTGTTGTTGTTCTCAACCTAACTGACAATTTCTGCCCTTTGCAGCTTCAGTTGGACTATCATTTCTCCAATTCACAAACATGAATTGTATGAGAAATCTCATTATAACTGGGCTATCACTCTTCCTTGGAATTTCCATCCCACAATTTTTCAATGAATACTGGACTCACACACGGCGTGGTCTTGTTCACACTGATGCAGGATGGGTAAATACTTTTTGACAGCCTCCCATCAATAAAGAAAGGGGAACAAACAAAATTCTTTTTCCTTTATGATTCTGCTAATTTCCTATCTCTTTTATGCTTTTGCAGTTTAATGCATTTTTGAATACCATATTCTCCTCACCAACAACTGTGGGTCTGATCGTAGCTGTGTTTCTAGACAATACATTGCAGGTGGAAAAGTCAAAAAAAGATCGAGGCATGCCATGGTGGGTGAAGTTCAGAACGTTTAGAGGAGACAACAGGAATGAGGAGTTCTACACTTTGCCCTTTAACCTGAACAGGTTCTTTCCTCCTACATAGTGTGGGAGCCTTAACAACAGCAGCAAACTGAAGCTAATTTGTCTGAGTAGAAGTTTAACATGATTGATGGATGTATTATCCAAAGACAAATATCAATCTACAACATGCTAATTTTTCCTTGTTTGCAATCTCTCCATTTTTTGTGGACCGTAATGGGGTCCTTATTAGGGTTGTAGTTGTAGAATATTCTCATGAAATAAAAATTGGAAGTTCGTTGATTTAGTCTTTATCTGCAATTGAGAGTCTTCAGCATAGAAGGTGAAAATTTCCAAGGTTTCAATTTGTTGCCCTTGTATAGAGTAGAAAAAATATGACATTGAAACACTATGAAAATGAAAAAAGGTTGCATGTCTTTTATTTTTTGGTGTGCATGTTAGGTTTTGTAGTCAGTTTTAATCAAGTTCTATAAAGGAAAGAATAAAATCAAAAGGTAGTGACTCCAAATTTAGCAAATGAATCAGCAATTTTGACTGCCTTGCTTATAAACTACACCTCTGCAAACTTGTATATAAATGATGTGCAAGACAATTAAAGCACGTTGAATACAGTGAGTAGACATAGAGGATGGATTAAGGCAACCAATAACATTTGAATGTGCCAAATCCCTTTGCAAAAGCCAGAGCAAGTTAAGTCCTGCTTTTTTCCTTTTTTTTTTTACTTTCAGTTCAAGTGTCACTTGATTCTCCGAAGTTGGGCATTGTTTTCAGATCCAATATCCAGCCCCTTAGCAAAGGCAATGACTAATGACCATATTAATCATGGATAATGCCTCATGCTCTCACAATACCTGGGCCGACTCATCTGTCAAGTTTGATCTATCCAATGGCTGACTTGGTCCATTTAGTCACGCCTCAAACCAAGGAGCAAAATGATGTTGCAAGGGGCGGACGCACGAAGGCTAAGGGTTGGGCACAGGCCCTACTCTGGGCCAAAAAATTTTAGTAAAATGGTGTAACAAAATGAAAATAAATGCCCTACCTATGACTTGATCTCGGGAGGTTTTTCCATAAGCTTAAGATAAAGCCCAAAGATTTTTTAATAATAAAGATTTAATGAGACTTAAATTAAAGATTTTAGTTTTTAGATGATTGCCCTAACTTTACTCCTTCACCAACTCCTAAATTCTACTAGTGTTTCTTTCTCCCCTCCCCTCCCTCTTCACTCTCGCCTACTGCTTTACACTCTTTTCTTTAGAAATTTCAAATTTAAACTTGGAGTTAGATGGCAAAAGATTATGTCCTTCTTATCTCATCAAATATACAAAATAAGTCTTAAGTTTTTTCCTCCCTTAAATTTATTTTAATTTGATCAACTTAGAGTAAAATGCAAGTTGTTCAAATGCCATTGTTAGAAACAGAACGCAAGTCTAAAACGCCCTATCCACCGTGTAATTCCAAATCTTACCTCAATGTAGAATTATAAGTAACTCTAATATATAAGTGTGGAGATCAACTACCTACAATAGCTTAAGTTTGAGTTCTTAAGAGTTTGTGAAATTTGACCGAAGAGTTGTTAGGTTAGTATGGATTTTGGCTCGACTCATTTCAATTGGTAATGAATCTGATATATAATCGGTGTAGAATTATGAATGAGTTTGATATATAAAAATAAAAATCACTACTAATAATTTAAGTTAATGACGAGAAGAGTATCAAATCATTTTTTTAATAGTAAAAAAAGAAATTGTAGTTAAAAATAAAAAAACAACAATTAAAATAAAAATAACAAAGATATATGAATTAATCCTTCCCTTATCCCCTTAGGAATTAAAATGAAGATAACCAAGATAAATGAATTAATCCTTCACCTACCCCATTTAAAAAGGAGAATTCCTAACTTTTTTCTCTTCCTTTATTTACCTTAATTATTTCTCAATCTTATAATCTAATACATAGTTTATTTTGTTATCGATTTAATTTATACAATTCCTTTTCAAGTTCATATATAAATCATATAATCAACAAAAAGTGACCAAGTTTCTTGAGCATTAAATTTAATAAGAAAAACTCATCTTCTAAATAATTTTAATTAAAAGTACAAAAATTACGAAATTTATATTAAATTACTTAAGTTACATCGTTACCCTTATAAGTTAAATTAGTTTATAATAAAAATGAAACTTAAAATTATAATTATGAATATAAAAATATCAAACAATAAATAAAAATAATTTTAAAAAATAAAATTTAATCTCAAAAAATTAAAATCTTCGGCATTTTATTTTTGATGAATTCTTTTTTACCTCTTCCATATTAATCATCAAAAATGCTCAGAAACAGCTGCCCAAGCCTCCTCAAAGGCTCTCCTCAATTTTTTTATATTGGATGAATATTTATAAGAATTAAAAAACCCTAATTAGAATAGTTAGTCCCCACGCGAAAGTAATAAGAATTGAGATGGATTTGCGTAAAATCGCACGGTAGTCGACATTATAAAGGAAGTGTCGATACCTTTACCGCATCATAAACCTACCATGTCGTATGTCACGTGAATAGAGTAAAGTAAAAGATGAAATTCTGTTTGCCTCCCATTGTATGTGCGACCAAGATCCAAAAAAAAAAAAAAAAGGCCACAGTCCGTGTCAGAGATTTTGGACTAAAATATAATTTTGGTGCTTCATTGGTAAAACTGTTCTGCTCTCGTATCTTTCATTAATTGAGACTTTAATCCCTATGGTTTTGATTACTTCAATTTGGTTCTAAATATTGTAATTTCTCCCAATCAAGTTCTCTTTTGTTTTGCACAAGGAGCGAAATCTGTTTAAAAAAAAGGTAACATCTTATAAAATCTTATCTAAAAATTTTTATATTAAAATTTGTGAATTTTCAACTTATCAACAAAAACTTAATGTGAAATTGAATTTTTAGATCCAATAATCCATCATTAAATCTTAATACTTAGATTTAATTAATTAAAAAACTACTTGAAAAAAATTCATCCATTCTCCAAAAATTCTCACGTCAAAAAAAAGAAAAAAAAAAGAAAAAAAAAGGGGAAATTCTAACGTGAGACGTCTAGGCCTAGCGGCCACCTCTTTCTTGCTTGTAAGAGACTTCTCATGCATATTGCTTAGTGGAGAATCTAACGTGTAAAGTGAAGCCAGAGTCCGTGTCGGAGACTTTAATCCTTGTAGCTTCGATGGGCAGCGTCACGACTTGGGTCGGAAAGAAGCCTTTGAGACGGATCGGAGGAATGTCCTATGCTCTCTCCATTGCTGCCGATCTCGGTTTTTCCGTTCCTCCTCCTCCTCCTTCCCAGGTTCATCTCTAATACACTTCCAGTTAGATTGTATGCTTTGATTCCTTTTATTGATCCTTGGATTTGCGATTTTTTATTCATAATTCGTTGTTGGGCATTTATATTATATATATATATATTTTTATCATTTTCCCTATTTTGCTCAGTTGGGTTTATGTTGAAGTGCTCCAATTGTATAGTTTTCCAGGTAGATTATGTCCAGCTTATGCTCTTATAAGTTTTGTTTCAATTGAAGTTGCTTGATGATTCTTAGTTATAAAATTTCTTGGGAGTAGATTACGCGTTGAGTTTGTTCAAATCGATCGCTTGTTTGGAGCTCAGATCAAAGCTATTCCTTTTTCTTCTTTTAATCTGTATTGTTTATTCTCGAGATTTCCAAGGGAATTATCAGTAAGAAGGCACCTTTTTCAAAAAAAGAAAAGTTAGTGAGTCATAACTATTTTGTAAAAGGAAAGGTATTTATAAGATGGTTATATCCCCGATTCAGTCCCTGAACTTTCATTTTTGGACTAAAAATACCCTCGAACTAAAAAAAATACTAAAAAAATCCTTAAACTTCAATTTTTGAAACCATTTTAGTCCTTCCATCGACGGAAGTGCCAGATGGCACGTTAAGTTGCCATGAAATCAATTTTGGTTGAAAATCTTAATGACCTATAAAATAAAACAATATCTTTTTCGCCACCGTGGCATTTTTTCATTTCCACATCAGTAATAAAATTTTACAGACATTTTCCACTCAATTTTCCTTCGCTTTCCTATAAACCAAACAACAAAA